AGCAGTGAGAGGGTTCGAACCAGGATTGTTGCGAAGGACTTCAATCGTGGCTCCTCAGTTAGATCTTTGGGATTTAGTAGTCCGACTCCTTCGATTGAAAGTGTTCATTTGGTGCTTGCAATGGCAGCGACACGGAAGATGCTTTTGCGTGCATTGGACGTGAGTCATGCCTTCATGCATAGCCCATTGGGAACTGGTGTACATGTTGTCTTGAAAATGCCGTTGCCGATTAGCTTTCCATCAGGTGAAGCGACCTACTATTTGCTTGAAAAGGCATTGATCGGGTTACGTGATGCTTCACTGGCATGGTTGCAGCTTTTGACATTTACGGTTGAACATGTAGGCCTTTGGTCTGATTCGTTGGAACCGTGTGTGTATGGTGGACAGATTGTGAAAGATGGTCATGAACTTGGATTTTGCTTGTGTGTAGTGTACGTTGATGACATCTTGTTGTTGTCGACCACTATGGAAGCCGAGGAACATGTGGTTGCAACTTTGTCGTCTGTAGTGCCTGTGAAGACAACTGGAGAGATCGGAGAAGAGGGAGGATCCCTGACCTTTATCGGTCGTGTCATCAAGAGAGAAAGAGATTCCTCTGAGATCACTCTGGGTGTTGATGCACATTATCTTGACTCTACGTTTCTGGATTATGGTGTGACCCGTGGGTCTGAGAATGTTCCTGACATTTCAGGACATCTTGAGAAAACACTCACGGATAGCAACTTTCAGAAACCTTTGTCAGATGAAGCATACTCACGCTTCAGGAAGGCGTTGGGAAAATTGCTTTGGTTATCACAGGCGCGTCATGACTTGAAAACATGGATGTCTGTTCTTGGAACGCAACAAGCGAAACCTATGCACGGGACTGAGCAAGCATGGAAAGCAGTCTTGAGATTCTTGTATGTTGACATGCATGCATGCTTGTGTCTACCGAGCAGAGATGAGACCATCATGAGTCAGGTTGACGATGCTCAACTGAGATCAGTCCATCTCCACTCTTTCAGCGATGCATCACATGCGCCGTATCGTTTCAACAACCGCAAAGGTGTTAGCGGTGGAGCTGTTTTCTTTGAGAGGTCTTTGGTAAGGTCTCTGAGCCGACAGCAGCAAGCTTTGAGTCTGAGTTCATGTGAAGCAGAGCTCTATGGTTTGCAATCTGTGTGTCAAGAAAGTGTTGCGTTTGGAAGATTGGTTCACCGTCTTCTTTTTGCACTTCATGAGATTGATGAGCCAGAAGAAGTTGTGATTTGGCTGGAGAGCGATTCAAGCTCCGCATTGCAACTTGTGAGATCCATGGACGTGCCACGACGTTCGCGACATATTGAGATAAGATTGCATTGGTTACGAGAGCAGATGAGAGAGGGTTTGTTGAAATTGAGACACAGAAGTGGTGTTGAAAATCCAGCAGATCTTTTCACTAAATGCTTGAGTGCTAAAGCTTTCTATAAGCACCGATATGCTCTTGGGATTGTTGTTCCAGATGGTTTGACAGCTGAGTTAGCAGAACTTCGTGAGCTGTGTGTGTTGCAGCAGGTGTTGACTCAGGGTTCTTCAATTGCGATTGTAGAACTGTGTTGTTCGGAACATTCGAACTTGAGAAAGGTTTGTGAAGTTTCAAAGGTCCCATACATTGGTGTAGTTGCTAAGGTGCAGAGTTCTGGAACGTTGAGTCGTGTAGCTGTTTGCATTCGACAGTGGAAGAACTCGTCATGTCCACCTTGGGTGCATATTCATGCATCGACTCCTTGTGGAAGTGGAAGTCCGCTTCGCAATTTCAATCCGGACTCAGTCACTGAAAAGGATCAGGAATGGGATGAGATCATCAACGCGATTGGTGGTTACTTCAAACATGCAGACTCATGTTCGTTTGAGCTTCCAGAACGAAATACCATTTGGTCCCGACCTGAGACAGTGAATCTTTTGGAAAGTTTTGACATGAGGCATGAGGCTTTGGTGAGGTTGTGCAAGACTGGATTTCAGAACAAGGATGGTATTCGCACTCGCGACTTGTTGCGACTGTGTATTTGTAAGTAAGTAACCTGTTGTATTGGTCCGGTTCCTGACCTTTACGCGGTTACCGGTTCTCCCCTTGGTGTACTCTCCCTCTACGCGATCCTCCTGGTTTGACGCGTTGCGTTCTCGTGTGCACACCGGTATTGCGGAAGTCTTTGTGTGCACTCGGAAGTTATGACCTGGAAACACAACAGTTAGTAAAACCTAACTTGCAACAAAGAAAATCTGAAAGATTCAGTTGCCCTGTTTCCTGGTCCGGTCTTTTTGGTTTTGTTTTTTATGTTTCTTGATTTCACGGAAGATGAAATCACAGATTGGGAAATTGGAATGCTTAAACGTTTTGACATACACAAGGGTTATGTCAACGGTTTTTTGTACATGTGAACACTTTGAATTCTTTGAATGTATGTTACATCAGTGGATCAAAGATGAAAGGGTTGGAGCAAATTTTTGTAGTTCTCGTTCTCGGCGTTGCCCAGACTTCTAGAAGTCTCATGGCGGAGGACAGAGTTGGAGCCCAGGTGATACAACTGCTTAGTGCCAAGGGTTTGACCGGCAAGAAGCTAGCTGTTTTCAACTTGGAAGATGCAGATTCCATTGCAACACAGGTATGCAAGGATTTGGGAGTGATTTGTGGGATGCAGCATGTGCATGTTGTGAAACGTTTGATCAGGGAAGCACACTTGGCCGAGCCCATCGCCAAGCGTCTGCGTGGAGACGATAGCCTGGACCCTTTGCATTTTCAGTTGCTTGTGGATAGGGCTTCAAACTTACAGACAGGGAACAGAACTACAGTGGTTTCACCAGTTGATGAATTTTTGGAGTCAGATGTTAGGGCTTCTCGTAGGGCAGCACGTCATGCAGAACCATGTGAAGAAAGGTTCAAAAAGGAAGCAGGTCAGAAAGAATTCTGGTCACGTGAACTCTATAAAGAGTTGAAACGTATGGGAGCGCCGGCCTTGGAACATTTAGAGCATTGCGTCAGTGAATCACACATTCATTTGGCATTGGCTGGACGGACACGTTACAGCACTTTGAAGAGATATATTAAATGTTGGAGATCCCTTCAGCAATGGCAGACTGCAGTCAGGGGCAATGCAGGTTCACCGGAAGTTGGAGACCTAGTTGAATATATCTTTTGCAGATATGATGAACCTTGTGGACCGACTGTGCCACCTCTCATTGTGAAGGCTGTAGTTTGGATGGAGAGGACAGCATGCTTGGATGTCCGTGCCCGGATAGGAGATTCACACGTTGTTGGATCTGTTAGGGACTATGTGGTCGAGATGCTCTCCAAGGATTCAGCACCCACAAAGCGTGCGCCTCGGTATCCAGTGGTCATGATGGAGTCATTTGAACATGTTGTTGAAGATGAGAGCCAACTATTGGGCATCAGAGTGATTGCATGGATCAAGTTGGTAAAGCTCTGGGTACATTGAGATGGGATGATGTGCAGAAAATGATCCCAAAGGAGCTCAAGTATTTTGGAGGCAGAATGACAACGGTTTTGAGGACAACAAAAACCACAGGACCAACAAAACGGGTCCGAGAGCTGCCGGTCTGTATCTCAGAGCATGCTTACATTTCAAATCAATTTTGGTTGAAGACGGGATTTGACCTGCTCAAAAATGATGTTGCTTTCGACAGAGACTATTTGCTGCCGAAGTTGAACAGTAATTGGACAGGTTTTAGAAAGGTCATGGCCACATACAACGACATCAGCTCCTATTCTGCTTATTTGAGAAGAAAGATCAAGAGGCCAGGTCAGGATGAGTTGATTATCCATCCGACGATGGCTGCGTTTTGGACGGAGCACTCAGAGAGGGCGACGTTGCCGACAGGTTTGGCATTGCTGCGGGCGCCTAAGGAAGAGAGAGACATGCTGGGACGTTGGAAACCCGATGGTTCAGACACTTATCTGCGTATGTACAATGGAGTGGTCAGCCGACCCCAATTGCAGTTTGCAAAGGCGGCTAGGACCAATGAGCGTTCCAGCACATTGGACGAGAGGGACATACTTGAGAGTGCGATGTCTTGGATCACTGATAGGTGTGAGCCGTTGTCAGATGAGAGGGTTCAGATGATACTGAAGCATTTGCAGAAGTCCATGGAGTGCAAAGCAATTCAGGGTTGGCAGACTGTGGAGGAAGATCAGCAGGAAGAAGATACGCTCTTTGGGCCGCTGACCGAAGAGATAGAAGAGGTAGAGGCAGTGGACACAATCAACGCGGTTGAGCGTAAGGAACCACGACTGCCAATGTTTGTAGTGGTCAACAATGGTAGCAAGTGCAGACGTTTACACAAGAGCCGTGGAGGCTGTTGGATGGGTAGAGAGATGAACTTCAAGTCGTCTGTGGAATTCAACACACTGCCAAACCCTGAGGAGTATACACATTACTGCAAGGTTTGTTGGCCAAAGACAGGGCCTGATACGAAGTCAGAGGTTTCATCATCATCTTCATCAACTTCCAGTTCCAGGAGTGCCAGTAGTTCTTCCAGTCGAGAGAGCGAATAGCGCGCTTGAGAAGGGATCAGTCCCAAAGGGGCCGGTGGATCCGAAGCCTGTCAAAGACAGCAGGAAAATGTTGCAGTGGCTGCAACCGGTGAAGATGTTGGTTTGTGTGTCTGTTTTTGACTGATTTTTTTTGCTTCTGAAGATGTCTTGAATCTTGTTGTCTTGAATCACATTGTATTTTGGGGAAAAAGCATCGATGAGATGCCGTGAGATGAGTTAGGTTTGAGGAATCCGCAGATTTCTCCGGAGCATCGGTTCAGCAAAAGCCGAGGGTTAATCATGACATAGTTGGAAGCAGGTTCAATTTACTGGAGTTTTTTCTCACGCGTGAAGCCGTGGTTATTGTTTGATTTTGTGGAATACTTTGATTTCCTAAATAGATGAGCGAAATACAATTTTCACTGACTTTCAGATTGCAGTGCATTTCGTTTGACAGAACATTTCTTTAGCTGGTAGCTCGACTGCGGTGAACATGGCTGCACCAGAGCAACTGGCCTTGGAAGAGGCTCTCAAAAAGGGGAGCTCAGATTTGAAGTTCACGTTGACGAGAAACGAGGTTTCAGATGAACTGCAAGCAGCTTTTTATAGGAATGGGGTTACAACTATTCCGAAGGTCTCTTCATTCTTTCGTTCAGAGGATGACTTGGTGACTGTCCTGAAGGAATCCTTCAACACGGATTCAGATCACAGTTTGGCTGATAGGTCTCAGGTTGCGTCAGTGATTTGTGCGTGGCGTGAGACGCAGACTCGACAGAAGAGACAGATAGAGGTTGAAGCAGAGATGGATACAAGAGAGTGGACAAAGCCCATTCCTACAGGTGACTATATCAACATGAGAAATGCATACATGAAGGTGCATGGAAAGATTGAAGATAAGGTTACTCCGTCAAAGGAGTATCTGGAGAAAAAGTTACAGGAACTTGAAAACGGCGAGTTTCGGGCGGAGACCATGGCCGAGGTGGTGTCGAAGGACGAGGTGGATCCTGATGTGATGATTCCCATTTTTGATTCAAAGGGAAGCCTTTCTGTCAAGCGGGGATCAACAACTATACCACTTCCTACAGGGCCTGAACAGTTGAGGCGCAGGTTGACTGTCATGCTGAATGCCATTCTCATGCTTGCTTTGAAACATACGAATCGTGAGGAGATTCAAGATGTGTCACGTGATTTGTTTGAACGTTACAAGGACTACATCTTGTAGAGGCTCAGCGTGCTGATCCTGCTGTTTCTTAATACTCGGCGCAAGGTCTTTGACCTGAAGCGTACATGTTGGTTAAGGGTGTTGACCGGGGGTTGTGCATTTGGGTTGTGTGGCATTATCTGAGTTATGCGTCGTACCGTCTTGTGCTGTGTAGTACAACTGTTTGAATCTAGAGATTCCTCTAGGGATTCAATCTGACTTAACTTTTTGTGTAGTGTTGGGTTCCTTTGTTTGCTAGGGATGTTTGTGAAACAACCTTCCCCTAGGTGATACGTTGTGCCAACCTTTAAATATTTTCGGTGCTTCTGTGATCAATACTGAAGATCAGAAACGGTGACACAACATGATAGGAACCACGAAATTTTTAACACCTCATTATTTAAATGATGTCATCTGATTTCATTTCAGAAGTGATTCTGAAGATGTTTTCTTCATCGAAATTTTTCAACCCAAACCAGGGAAGGGTGGGAGGGTGCTCTTAAAATTTTGAGCACTGACATCAACGATTTTTGCTCTTTGATGGATGCTGTCAATGTACAGCGGCTGACTATTACAGAGCTGATTCGTCTATTGATTTTGATTCTTTTTGAGCTGGCCCAGCGGTTTCGAGTTACTATCCCGGACCCTCCAACTGTTGAGTCGGTGCATCCTCCACATTGCCACCACAACTGCAATTTTTGCGATCATTTGTGTGCCAGGGCTGATCGTCACAGAACGCACAGGTGTACTTTGCATTGGAGGTGATGGTCTTGACCGTAGCTCTGCCATTGGGGGGGGAGAACCAAGAGCTGGGTGAGGATGACTATGGTTTTGAGAAATCTTTGCCAAGCGTGGCATGTAGCATCAGTCCTGTGCCAAGCATTTTGGATGATCCTGACATTCATGAAGAAGCAGTAGAACCCGATACAGAGCAATTGAAAAGCAAACGCACTTTTCAGGAATCTGGGATTAGTTCTGAAGTTGAGCGGAAAAAGAAAGACAGGATTGCTCAGCAGGTTTTGGATGCTACCTTGATTTTGAGTCGAAATGAGAAGATGCTGCAGGCCGTGCAGGTTGGTATACCCAAAATTGACTTGGTGTCAGATATTTTCAGACTTCCAATGTTGGGAAGGCTTGCGCACATTGAGAACGCTATGCATGATGAGACGTTGAACCGTCAGGCAACAACTGGCTTGAGTGGTCCGCTTCCTTTTACCAAGAGGCGGTTGTTGACGGCAAAGCTGGCCAAGTCAGATGATGAGCTGCTGACCTCAGCACTACGGAAGTTGCGCAACTTGGTACTGTACTGGCCAGAGGACAGCAAACTTGGCAGAGCATTGCTAACCTCGGCAGGTGCAGTAGTGGGAGAGGATGTCCTCCAACAATCCCTCAAAGACTGTTTTGCTGGTAAAGCGGTTGCAACATTGGTGAAGAGGGCGGCAGATTTTACAAGGTTTGCTGAATGGATGATACAGTCGGGAAGGGGCAGACCCTTAAAGCCCATGGAAGCCGACTTGTATGGTTACATATCCATGTTGCGTGCCAGTGGAGCAGGTGCCACAGCAGGTGAGTCGTTTTTGTCTGCCTGGCGGTTCATGGTGCACACTGTTGGAGCAGGACAGGCGGTGAACAATGATTTGATTTCTGGCAGGGTGCTGGGTGCAGCCAAGGATTTGGTTTCGAAGAAGCGGGCTTTGCATCAAGCGCCACCGCTCACTGCAGACATGGTATGGAAGCTGGAAGGCTTGATGGCTGCACCGATATCCCAGAGGTTCAAAGCAATCCTAGGGTTTTTGCTGTTTTGCCTTTATTCTTGCTGTCGATTTGGAGATGGCACCAGGGCCCACGAACCTACTCTGTCCCAGTTTCAGCACATCATTTTGGTTGAGACCGCATGTTCAGAGTACAAAACAGCCACTGGTGAGAGGCGAGCAGTGTTGCTGCCCCTAGTAGCCTTAGGTTCTGGTCTATCTGGCTCAGGATGGGCACTTTCATGGATGGCTGCGAGAAGGGACAGTGGTTTGAGGGGTAAAACTTTTCTCATGCCGGCTGATGCGGAAAACAGTGACCATTGGCTGGATCGAAGGATGACCACAGCAGAGGGGTCATACTGGTTGAAAGACCTATTGGTCTTGTCAGGCTTGAAAGAGCCGGAGGCAGCTGGTTTCTCAACTCACTCACTCAAAGCCACACTCCTCAGTTGGGCTGCGAAGTCAGCGACATTTGATTTGCAAGAGCGCCTCATTTTGGGGCACCATTTGGATGAGGAGACAAAGATGGCCGTGACTTACTCACGTGACGCAATAGCAGCTACTATGGTGAAGGTGTACCGGATGCTTGAAACTGTGAGACAAGGCATCTTTGATCCCGATGCCAGCAGAGCAGAGAGGATTGCCATGGCGACTGGTTTGAGCCACTTGGCCACGCACCTCCCGGAGAAGAATGAGATGGAGCTGGACCTTGAAGAAAGACTGTGCAAGGAGATTGAACGCGCTGACCAGTGCGATACAGACGTGGAAGAGGATAGGGCTGAGATTCAGCCGGTGAGGATTCCAGAAGAATCTCAGTCATTTGCAAGATCAGATTTCCCGCCTGTGGAAAGCGCACACTGCGTTGTTCATCGGCTTTCAGGCATTGTACATTGCTTGGAGACCTCGGACAGTTTGTTGTGTGGACGCAGGATGTCGCTGAATATGAAACCCATTGATTTTCCTTGGGAAGACCGTGCAACTCACGAATTCTGTGAGCAATGCAACAGAGCACTTTATCGCTGAACTAGCGAGTCGTGAGCGAGATAAATGGCGCTGGGGATTTACCAGCGGTGAGCATCTCATGAATTTGAATGTTGTCTTTTTGATGTGGTAGGAGTGAATTGCAGGAACATGCAACACGCTACGTGATTTGGATTTCTTGTGCATTGGCTCATCAGAAGAACCTTCCTGGCGGAATAGCTGGGAAATTTGATGTAGCGGAAGTACATGTGAATCCATGACACGAAGTTGGAACTTGATATTTTAATTCAATTGTTTAAACAGTGAAATCAAGTAGGTGAAACGGAATTTGAAACAACAAACGAAACACTCCTTTTCTGCATGTTTGTGTGTGACAGTTGATTTAATTTGATTTCCGGGGCGGGCCCTGCGCCACTTTGGCGATTAGCATGGCTTCAATGGAATCAGTCCCGAGCTTTAGAGCACGAGCAGCAGATATTGGTATGAGTGCTGAGCTGATTGATAGATTGGTGGCGGCAGGTCTTGACACCTTTGGGAAACTGGCTTATGTTTGCAGTGTTAGTCCAACAGCAGGTGACGATGGACCACTTAGGGATGCACTGGGCCGCATGCTAGCTGGTGGAGACCCCTTGACGCCGCAGGACATGATCTTCGTGAGGCGCTTGTGGTTTGAGTCCTACACTTTGACAGTGACTGAATTGCAAAACAAAATGCAGAAGAGCCCCAGTGATACTCCAAAATCAATACCACTGGCAGAACGATTAGTCCGTATTGAGGAACAGCGTGATCGTTTGAAAGGATTAGTTTATGACCAGTTTCTCGAGCCGGCTCACTCCTTGACAGACAAGGTTCAAGCAATGCTGGAAGATGGTGTTGTGACTTATTTACCACCAGAGAAATGCACTTCACGTCATGATGAAATTCAAAGCAACAAGACGGAACAGCAGTTGACCTTTGACGCACAAGGAACTGTCAAGGTATCGAAAGCGGAATCACAGCTGAGTTGCGATGCCACAGGAGAGTTGAGATTGCGTCAGTGCCTTACGCGTAAAGCTTTGGCGTTTGATCAGATCAAACTTTGCTCCTTTGATGTGATGGAGACATGGCACAATGCAATGGTACAGGCAATCATGCGCAAGCCACCTGCAGGACACAAGTATGTCACAGTTCAGCAAATCATGGCCGCAGACAAGGAGCTCTGGAGCTACATGTCTCAAAATACACGTGGCAAGCTCAAGACAGCAGTGGGGCAACCTCCAGCCCTGGACTCAGAGTTGCAATCACTCATGAATTCACCGACAGTTTTGTGCTACATGACCCCGTTGCCTGGGCAGTCAACAAAAACTGAACCGCCCAAACCGGTGGTGCCGAAACCCAGTTCACCCAAAGGTGAATCCAAAGGTTCGACCAGGCCACAAGGGACAAAAAGGAAGCTCGAAGGTACCACAACTGTCAAGGAGCTGTTGCAGAACTTGCCAGCCAACTGCACGTCCAAGACTGAGCAAAACAAGTTTATTTGCTTACACTACAACAATGGGACATGCAAGAGGCAGAAGGCTTCGTCGTGCAACATGGGCGTGCACATGTGTTACTATAAGGGATGTGGAAAGAAAAGGCCGTACATTGAGTGCGGACACTGACAAAGCGCATGGCAGTCAGCAGCTTCAGAGGCTGGCCCATCAAACGATGTTGCAGTGTTTATGGAGCTTTGTGCAGGTAGTGCAGTGTTATCGTCAGAGGCCGCAAAACAAGGTTTCCAGACGTTTGCAGTGGACCATGAATTAAACCGGTTTTCACCCAAGGCGAAAATCTTTCAGTTGGACTTGTCGAAGACAGAGTCCAGTCAGCTGCTAGCAGACATGTATCACAACATGAAGCCACAATGGACCCACATGGGCTTACCATGTGGAACGGCATCACGTGCGAGGGAGAAGCCGGTCAGCCAGAAACTGAGAGATAAAGGAGCCCCGCAGCCGAGGCCACTAAGAGATCAAGACCACTTGATGGGTCTGCACAATTTGTCTCCAGCTGAGCAACGCAGAGTGGATGGAGCGAACTTGGTTTACCAGGCTGCTGAAGGAATTCTTTTTATCATTTTCATGCTGGGATTATGGGTGTCCATCGAGAACCCTGAAAGATCATGGTTATGGGCTATTTTAGCCCTACTGGTGAAACGCCGTGACAATGCAGAGTATTCACAATGGTATTTCAATTTGGCCGACACCACCTTTGATGCGTGTCAACATGGTAGTAGTTTTGCGAAAACAACGAGACTCAAGGGGACCCCAGGTATTTTTGAGCACCTGGGTGGTCAATGTGATGGCACGCAGACCCATGCAAACTGGAAGGTCCAAAGGTTGGGACCACAATGGATCTTTAATACTGCTGCGGAGGCTGAATATCCGCGGGTGCTTGCAGCAAGAATGGTAGCGGCAGTAGTGGCGAAGTTGCCACAACACCTTTTTCAACAGACTATTCGCCGTTTCCGTTTGGATCTTTTGCAGCAGGCCGATAAACAACACAAGCTGGGTGAGCAGCTCATTCCCGAGTACAGCCACGTGTTGTTCATGGACGAGTTGCCGCAAACTGGCACCTTCAAAGTTTTAGCACAGCCTTTCAACCACACTGGGGACAACTGCGACAAAGGCTGTGCTACTGAGAGCGGGAGCAATGAGCATAACAGATATAAGATTGGGTTTTTCTTTTCGCCGGAGGAGCACTTTGACAGAGCATTGCACCTCAGGCACCCTGCACTGCAGTTCAATGTGGTACCTGATGTTTTGAGAAGGAATTTATTCAGACTGTGCACCTTGGGAATCCATGAGATAGCGCAACAAAGAATTGCGACGTTGAAAGAGGTGATGAAGCTCAAATTGGCACTAGCTTCGGAAGAGCGTCAGCTGCGGGATGGCATGGAGACCCATGTTAATACGGTCACTAAAGACAAGGCCCTGGTTTTGTGGAGGCGGCTTTTGATGGAGACCCGGTTCCCTGACATGAATGTTTGCAGTTTCATGGAACAAGGAGTGCCCTTAACTGGACAGGAGGCCGAGTCACCCCTATACTTCAAGAAATATGCGCCTGCAGTCATGACGGTAGAACAGTTGGATCACCAGGCAGTTTGGAAGCGCCGAGCCATGATGGGTAAGACCATTGCAGCAGAGGAATGTGAGCATGAGCATGATTTGGTAAGAGAGAGCCAGGAAGAGGTCGAGGCAGGTTTCTTGGAAGGACCTTTTACAGAAGAACAAATTAACACCAAGTTGGGCACTGACAGCTGGAGCTTGACCCGACGATTCTGTCTATACCAAGGTGAAGAGCGGAAAATCCGAGTCATAGACAATTATAAAGACTCTGGTGTTAATGCAGCTTTCTCCTCCTCCTCTTACTTGGCGCTGCAGGACACTGACTTCATTGTGGGCTTTTTGCGTTTTGTCATGGTGGTGCTGTCAGGGCGGGACCAAGTGGTAGTCCCACTCAGTGATGGCCAAGTTCTAGTGGGCGCTTGGCACCCAACTATGAGTGCTGGACCGTCCTGGGTTGGGAGGTGCATCGATCTCAGCAAAGCCTACAAACAGGTGGCGATACATAAGCAATCGCTACGACATGGTGTCCTGGGGTTTAACACCCAAAAGGGTGGCTGGCAAATGTACACCACGTGCTCGCTGCCTTTTGGAGCATCAGCCTCGGTCTATTCGTTCAACAAGATCAGCAGGGGCATTTGGCATTTGCTGGTGCACAAATTTGGACTACTCACCAGTGTTTTCTACGATGACTATCCGGTTTTTGAAGTTCAACCCCTGGCTGCATTGACGTCGAAGATAGTCGACGCATTTTTGAATGTTTTGGGCTGGCGACATGCTGTGCAGGGCAAAAAGGCTGTAGATTTTTGCAGCCAACCTGTTGCCTTGTAGGTACAATTCAATTTGGAAAACATCAGAACTGGTGAGCTGGTGGTGCAGAACAAACCGGGTAGGATTGAGAGGATCGTGGAAATGATAGCCCTGGTGAAGGAAGGCGAGGGGAAATCGAAGTCCCTTATGGCTTCACTGGCTGGACTAATGAACTTTGCTGGAGGTTCGTACTAGGCCACCACTTCAAGTTGGGATCTCATGCATTGAACGCCTGGGCGTACAACCATAATGTTGCCCCTTCTGATGTCCGAACAGTTTGCGATTATTTGCTAACAGTTGCCAAGTCTGTGCAGCCCCGGCGCATACATCTTCACGACTCTGATCTTCCGTGGGTTATTTATACAGATGGAGCTTATGAAAACGGAAAGGGCACTTGGGGGGCGTTAGTCTATGACCCACTGACTGGTAAGAGGTTGGTCTTTGCAGGAGAAGTTCCGACCGTGTTGACCTCATACTGGGCAGCTACAGTGGGGGAACAATTGATTTGCGAAATTGAATTGTATGCTTACATATGCGTCAGATGGCAGTTGCGGAAAGAACTGACCAATCGCTATGGGATTGCTTTCATTGATAATGAGTCCAGCCGGATGACGCTGATCAAGAGGAATTCCCCTTCCCATGCGATGTTCTTAATGGTATCCTTGCTGAGCTTATTGGATGTGGTGTTGCCTTTCAGCGTTTGGTGTGAGCGAGTGCCGAGCGCTTCCAACCCGGCTGACTTACCGTCCCGAGGGAAGTCAGCAGAGCTTGGCAAATTACTTCATGCCACAGACTGCGGAGACATTCAGTTGCCGGCCTACGTTCTAGACTTTCTCAGAAGGGACCAGTTCGATGTTGAATTGGCAGAGCTTGTGAAATTTGAAGCTTTGTGATGGTTCTGTGACGGCTGAAACGATAGGGGGAAGAAACAAGCCTTTAATCCAGTTTGCTGAGTTGTTGAGTCGACCCACGTGAACACCTATGTGGCATGTCGACGTGAGAAAACCAAATATGATGCAAACTCAGATCGGTATCTCCCCCGACTCGCCGGTGAAAAAGAAATTGCAAGGCTGCATGTCCGATGTTCTGAGATTGATTTTTCCTGATTTGCAGTGCTGTGATTTTTGAGGATTATTTTGTTTAAGGGTTTGGTTCAGTTTACGCGTATACCCGAGCGGCACACATGACAGGCGGCGCGTGATATAACTTTATGTTTACACAACCATACTTATGCACTTCCCCTTCCTGGTTATATCCCTTTTATACCAACTTGAGAGTGTTAGAAACGTAGAGGCTCAGCGTGCTGATCCTGCTGTTTCTTAATACTCGGCGCAAGGTCTTTGACCTGAAGCGTACATGTTGGTTAAGGGTGTTGACCGGGGGTTGTGCATTTGGGTTGTGTGGCATTATCTGAGTTATGCGTCGTACCGTCTTGTGCTGTGTAGTACAACTGTTTGAATCTAGAGATTCCTCTAGGGATTCAATCTGACTTAACTTTTTGTGTAGTGTTGGGTTCCTTTGTTTGCTAGGGATGTTTGTGAAACAACCTTCCCCTAGGTGATACGTTGTGCCAACCTTTAAATATTTTCGGTGCTTCTGTGATCAATACTGAAGATCAGAAACGGTGACACAACATGATAGGAACCACGAAATTTTTAACACCTCATTATTTAAATGATGTCATCTGATTTCATTTCAGAAGTGATTCTGAAGATGTTTTCTTCATCGAAATTTTTCAACCCAAACCAGGGAAGGGTGGGAGGGTGCTCTTAAAATTTTGAGCACTGACATCAACGATTTTTGCTCTCCCGCCCAAATGTCTTGTAGCCCACCCTGAGGGGGGAAGAAACAAGCCTTTAATCCAGTTTGCTGAGTTGTTGAGTCGACCCACGTGAACACCTATGTGGCATGTCGACGTGAGAAAACCAAATATGATGCAAACTCAGATCGGTATCTCCCCCGACTCGCCGGTGAAAAAGAAATTGCAAGGCTGCATGTCCGATGTTCTGAGATTGATTTTTCCTGATTTGCAGTGCTGTGATTTTTGAGGATTATTTTGTTTAAGGGTTTGGTTCAGTTTACGCGTATACCCGAGCGGCACACATGACAGGCGGCGCGTGATATAACTTTATGTTTACACAACCATACTTATGCACTTCCCCTTCCTGGTTATATCCCTTTTATACCAACTTGAGAGTGTTAGAAACGGGTGACTATGTTTGGGGACTTTCCTCAACGGATTTGCATGGGAATCAGATCCAGACGCCTCCTTGGAGCTTGGTCCTCAGTTATGAACAGGCTGTGAGAAAGCGTGCATACTATTTGATGGTTTCAGAGCATTTACAGCTTGGTACAGCACTTGAACAAGCATGGAAGTGCCCAGTTACAAAGGAGAGGCATTTCATTACGCCTCTTGCGCTTTACAGCAAGCGCTCTTTCCCGAATCAGAATTGGGGAGAATGGAACCCAAAAGGAAAGGGTAAGGGCGGAAAGAGTTCATCTGGAAAGGGAAAGTCGAAAGGAAAAGGGCCAGGGACCACACCCGAGGGCACCAAGATCTGTTTCCGTTTCAACCAAGGGAAATGCAATTACCAGAAGTGCAAGTTCAGTCATGTTTGCAATCGGTGCTTCAAGAAGGGCCACAATGGTTTGAACTGTAAGGACGAAAAGCCTGCCCCGGACACAACGGGAACACACTGACCAGGGCCTTGCAGAGACACAGGTGCAAGGGAACAGCACAAATCTTCAAAGAAGATTCTTCGGGTGTTGTATGTTTTCTCAGGGAAACCGAGAAAGAATTCAGTTTCATCATGGCTGCAAAAGTTGTCGAAACGATGCAATGTGGCAATAGAGGTTGAGATGGTCGACATTCAAGTGCGACCCTTCCTGGACCTCACTCGTGCAGAAACCCAGCAACGTTTGTTAAACAAGATTGCATCGGGTAGATTTTTTGCAGTTTTATTCAGCCCGCCGTGCAGCACTTTTTCTCGAGTGGTTTGGGCGAACAGAAGAGGACCGAGGCCAGTTAGATCCTTTGTGCAGCCACGTGGATTTACAAGACTTACATGGGTAGAGCGTAAACGTGCAATGTGGGGCAATACAATGGCGGATTTTACATTCAAAGCTTTTGAAATGCAGGTGGACCAAGGTGGCATGGCTTTGTTTGAAAACCCAGAAGACTTGGGAGCGATCAAGTCGGGGGAGCACAGAGGTAAACGACCAGCAAGCATGTGGCAGTGGAATGAGTTTCAACGTCTTCTGGAAAGGCAAGATGTTGAAACGGTTGCGCTTTATCAGCAAGACTTTGGGACTGAGTACTTGAAACCAACAAGGTTGATGCTGGCGAATTTCAAGTATCATCATGATTCCTTCTGCAAAGGTGGGCCATTTTTTGATGAGCAAGGTTTTTACGCTGGTCCACTGGAGTCCAGGGACGCAACAAGACAGCTTGTGGGCAATATTGGAAGTTCCTTTGCAACAACAGGTACAGAGCAGTGGCCTTCAGACATGTGCAAATGGATTGCAGATACAATACTTAGACAATTTACAGAGAAGCAGATCAAGGACAGTGTCATCGCTGACGACGGAGCAGGGGGAACAAACTCTGACACTCTCCCATACCCCATCTTGAAACCAGATGGACATAAACTCTACGGTGGCACTGGAAGTCCGAGACAATGTCAGCAACCGGGTAAGGAGAGACAGTTTCATGACGGTGCAGGCCTTTCTTCAATGGGTAGATGGGATGCAAACAAGCGCATTTGGTCGGAGACACCCTTTTGGAAAGAACTGAGAAAGGAGACCTTGGAGATGATCCTCAAACACATTGGGGACGAGAGGACATTGAACAGAGCTTGTTTTGAGATGGCGGTGCGTGGCGAGGAAGGATGTGCTATTGTTTCGGATGAAGAGCTAAAGGCTAAGATACGCGCACTTTGGATCAGACTCTTGGAAAAACATGGTAGCAAACAGGAGGGATTGGAGACCCGAGCAGAAGGTCAACCTTTTTACTTGAGGCTCATGAAGGAGTTGCTAGCGTTTGCAGATGATGTTGACAGGGAATTCCTTTTGGAAGGCGAAGTGGGTTTTCCTGTAGGTGTCTTGGCACCACTTCCAAGAACGCCTCACGTCTACGAGGAACAAACCAGCTGGCGTTTGGAGGAAGAGCCTCTCATGAGAGAGGAGGTCTGGCGTTCAAATTACCAGTCAGTGGACCTTCATACTGACTTTGTCTACAGCCATTTTGAGGAGGAATGCAAAGAAGGCTTGATGGAGAAACTGACTTTGGAACAAGCAAAAGAGAAGTACGGTGACAAAATAGCTATTTCTTCTCTTGCAGTCTTGGTGGAAGAAAACCATCAAGGGAAGCGTCGGATAATACACGATGCAACACATGGCACATTGGTCAACAACAGGATCAGATGTCGGGACAAAGTCAGAAGTCCCAGTGCACGGGAGAAGCAGTACCTGTTGGCGCTTTTCAAGGGCCAAAACAGTTCAGTTTGTAGTCTCGTAGGAGACATCAGCAAAGCACACCGGAGATTCCTTCATGCGCCGTGTGAGCGCGGACTGCTTGCGTGCAAAGTGAAGGAGGATGACAACTTTATTTACGTGAATAAGGTTGGCACATTTGGAGTGGCATGTGCATCATACTGGTGGTCAAGGATTTCTGGAGCCGGTGTGAGGCTGATACATGAGTTGCTGGGCCGTGACATGGCAATTGATATACTTATTTTTGCGGACGATATAGAGGCCATCGCGGCCAACGCTGGTGGAAGGAGGGGGATCACTCTTTGTTTCCTTTACATGTCTATTTTGGGATTCCCATTTAAATGGGCTAAACAACGTGGTGGCTTGCGTGTCGAATGGATCGGACTTTACACTGACTATCCAACATTCCGGATTGGTTTATCGCCCAGCAGGGCAACTTGGATGCGCAACTGGGTTTTGGGAATGGCCAATAGCGGAGTTACGACTTCCAAGAACTTTGAGCAAGGATTGGGGAGGCTTGGATTCGCATCTCTGGCTCTCATTTGGGAGCGTCCATTTCTGGGTCCTTTATACAGTTGGTCTGCAGCCGTCCGCAACAAACCAGGACGCTTGCGGATACCAGCTATGATTAGGGCTATACTACTCTTTTTGGGGTCCAGGTTTGAAGAAGGTGGTCAGTTGCAGGAGCCACCCCCTTTGGCAGGCAGTTACAATGCTGAGCAAAGCCTCCTTTTTTACACTGATGCCAAGGCCACTGAACATGGAGCATGGATAGGCGGTTACAAACAAGACGCCGATGGTAACGTGCTGGAGTGGTTTTCAGAAGAGATACCGCATTCTTGTGCGGAATGGATGACGTTGAAGAAAGACCCAAAAAGGGTTATTGCAACATTAGAGTTGTTGGCGAGCTTAGTTGCTGTGAAGCTTTGGATGCCACAGAGCAAGGAGCATACCAAAGCCACCTGCTATTTGAAGGGTATGACTGACAATTTAGGCAACACCTTTGCTGTTTCAAAGTGGATGAGTACGAAGTTTCCTTTGACAGTTTTTGTCATGGAGTTATCAGAAACCTTGAGGCGGGGCAACTGCCTACTTTCACTGGATTGGGTCAGGCGAGACAACAATCAACTCGCTGACGACTTGACGAACCAGGTTTTTGATAAGTTTGAAATGAAGTTGAGAGTGAGGTGGAAGCCCGAAACACAGGAGTGGCACATACTGAATCAGTTTCTTGAGCACTCCAAAGGCTTCCACAACGAAATGAAGAAGAGAAAAGCGGAAGTGCTTCCGCCGGTTGCCCAGGTCAAGAAAACACGGAAAAAGCTGAGCCCATGGTAGCTCACCGATGGCCGTCCTCGATACTTAGGGGCTGGTTGACTCGGAAGCCATTCGGTTGCAAACGTATACAAATGGCAAGTCACCAGCAAGGAAATGGATGTGGTAGCCAAACCTCGTAAAGAGAACAATCGGGCAGAAAAAGAAACAGCCGTTCATCACATTGCACTTTGATCAGTTTCTTGTTGCGGCGATGTCAGTTGTGAAGTTTTATATATACGGCGTTTTTTGAATATATTATTTATAGTATACCGTGGCGATAGCCTCACGTGATATTTATACTTCGCTTGGAACTTTTTGAATGGTTTGCGACGCGCGTTTACGTGTTTTTTACATTGGGAGGGTTTTGGGAGGGTACCTGGTCTTACTTAACTAGTACGCACTCGCGACTTGTTGCGACTGTGTATTTGTAAGTAAGTAACCTGTTGTATTGGTCCGGTTCCTGACCTTTACGCGGTTACCGGTTCTCCCCTTGGTGTACTCTCCCTCTACGCGATCCTCCTGGTTTGACGCGTTGCGTTCTCGTGTGCACACCGGTATTGCGGAAGTCTTTGTGTGCACTCGGAAGTTATGACCTGGAAACACAACAGTTAGTAAAACCTAACTTGCAACAAAGAAAATCTGAAAGATTCAGTTGCCCTGTTTCCTGGTCCGGTCTTTTTGGTTTTGTTTTTTTATGTTTCTTGATTTCACGGAAGATGAAATCACAGATTGGGAAATTGGAATGCTTAAACGTTTTGACATACACAAGGGTTATGTCAACGGTTTTTTGTACATGTGAACACTTTGAATTCTTTGAATGTATGTTACATCAGTGGATCAAAGATGAAAGGGTTGGAGCAAATTTTTGTAGCCCACCCTCCCACACCGGGGGCTGGTTGACTCGGAAGCCATTCGGTTGCAAACGTATACAAATGGCAAGTCACCAGCAAGGAAATGGATGTGGTAGCCAAACCTCGTAAAGAGAACAATCGGGCAGAAAAAGAAACAGCCGTTCATCACATTGCACTTTGATCAGTTTCTTGTTGCGGTGATGTCAGTTGTGAAGTTTTATATATACGGCGTTTTTTGAATATATTATTTATAGTATACCGTGGCGATAGCCTCACGTGATATTTATACTTCGCTTGGAACTTTTTGAATGGTTTGCGACGCGCGTTTACGTGTTTTTTACATTGGGAGGGTTTTGGGAGGGTACCTGGTCTTACTTAACTAGTACCGATTGGAAAGACATTGAAGTTCGTTTCCAATTCAGCTTGATTTGCATTAAATCTCCACTCCAAACTTTCTACATGTACATGTCAGACACACGCAGAACTTTATCAAATCAACTATGCTGAGACAGCGTTTTACAACCGAAAGTTGGCAAGATACATTTTGATTGCGGTCAAACATGCTTCGAAGAAGAGTTGAATTTGCGTTTGAAAGGGGGACACTGTGAGAGAAAGACAGAAGTTGACGTCACGTTTCATTTTTTCTGTTTTGCATGTTGTTTCAAATAAACGTTGCCAAAGACAAACAGGAGTTTTCACTGTGTTGCATTTTGTGCAGAGTTTTGTTGCGCGATGCTGTAAGATGCGGTGTGCGCAGCGCAGAACAATATGAAAGGTCACTGTGCCTATCACGAAAGTGATGGCGGTTCGACACTTCGTCTCACGTTCTAGGTTGATTGCTCCTAAGAGTTTGGCCACGGTCTAGTGCTTTTTCACTACCGGACGCGGTTTGATTTTGCAGCCATGGCGTCATCCAATTGGAGCATTGAGGATGAGAAGATGTTTCAACAGTTGGCACAGCGTCGTACTTCTCAGATGCCATTGCCGACAACTGAATCTAGTGGCGCAATGACCGATGCTTCAAAGCGCAGATTTGAAGATGCAGAGTTTGAGGTCGACACAGAGCCAGATTGGGTGGTTGGAAGTAGTTTCATGGAGCCCGTGGGAGGCACCGAAGATTTGGCCACAAAGGCCTTGCTTCCAGCTGGTATTACAAATATGGCTATGTGGGGAAAGACCAAGTTTGCATTTGGAAAGTATGAAAAAGAAAAGAAGAGTTACAAGACTGTCTTCGAGGAAGACCCCAGCTATGTTTCATGGTGTCGAAAACATTTGACCAAAGACTCAGCGAAGGGTCCTGCCTGGGATTGGTCCAGGTACATTAAGGCCCGAGATTTGGTGGACTGCAAAGCGGCTAATGTGCCATTCTGTGCAGGAACTACCTTGCGTCGAGAGTTTTGTGATTGATGACACTGTGATGGTGGTTGGATCTATACAGGATCTCATTCTATGTGGACAACTGTAGTTTGCAGGATTGTCGAACTGGATGAGTGGTCACTATGTAGCCCTTCGGCTAAGGGCACCCTTATGTATTGGCCTTTCGAGCTTGGGCGATATGTGCTGAAGTCTGGATGGGTTACACCGTATACCTATGGAATGGAGTTCATCTCAAAAGGGGGTGTGAAAATTTGACATCTGTGGTGAGATGAATCCATTTGGTATTTTCTGTATTGGAAGAAGTGAATTTGGTTTTCACCTTGATGGTGAGCTCAACCGTGATGGTTGACATTGTATTTGCACGTTTCATGTTCTGCACGTTTTATTGGAGATGACGAAACCCAACAACGATATACTTTTCGTCTTCTTTGAGTACTTTGATTGCACGGAGAACACAGTGAGGATTGGAATTTGGAATTTGTATAGTGTCATGGAAAATCAAACCATTTTCCATATGTTTTGCTTTAGTTTTTGCCGGCAGAAGTGCACGAAGGAATCGTGAGAAGATCGTAGAATTCATTTTGTGACTTCGGAAGAAGGAACTTTGTTTGACATTGATCGGAGAAGTTTAGTTTGTTTTGTCTCTCAATGATGATAGCGAGAGCAACGTTCTGAAAGGCATTCAGAACCAGAGTTGCCAACAGATCTGAGGGAGACATCATGAATCATGTTTTGGTGCTTGAAATGTTTCAACAGTTTTCAACCACTCAAACTTATTTAAACAAACAAACCATGTCTTGATGTAAAGACTTTTTGTGAGGACATGTGTTTTTGATCGCTTTTGTGAAGTTGACAGAAAGATGTCAACTGGCGACTCCGCATCATTTTGTGTCAAGGCGTGACACACCAACAAGAACCATAGCGACATGAGCAAGACACCCTTGTTTTGTGGTTGTGTAAAAGTGGCTGAGCTCTGGGAGTGGTTGACTTGGTTGCGTGGACGGTCTTAGTGAGTTAAGGACGACGTCCTGGACGCTGACCCAAGTAGGTTTCGAAGGTTGCGGTACCTTCTGCAAGCCAGCACAAAAGCACCTTTGCAGAAAAAATGTATTTAGAGGCAGCGGGAAAAAATTGTCCGAGGCGGGAAAAACCCATCTGAGACAAGAAAAACCAGCGTCAGAGAAAGTCCAGCTTTGCAACCCAAAAAGTTGCCGCAACCGAAAAAATACATTTCCGCAAAAAGCAGCAGCCCTGTCAGTTTGATCGTCTGTGTTTTTTGCTGCTGCGGCCTCTGTTTTTCATTTCAGGTATCATATCCTGAAGCGCAGAGAAGCACAATTTCATGGCACCACGCGTATGCCAATAGATGCTGCAGCAATTCTTGACTGGGAACTTGATACCCCCTTTCACATCGCAAGACCGGCCACCATTGGCCATTGCTATGATCGCCACACCTGCTGCGTGAGACGGTACCAACTCATAGTAGCTCAAAAATCTCAGCTACGCCTCAGCCCGGAAGTTTCCACAGCGTTTGCATCGCGGTCTGCAGATCACCCTCACAGCAAATGGATTCTTCCCGCTGAGACGGCTCGTCCATGAGGTCGCTCAGGTTTGTGCCGGCAGCTTGGCCCTGCCGGAGGATTTGCCTGGGCCCGACGGCACTGCTGCAAGCAACTCACTGAACCACGTGGGTCTGACGACACAGCTAAAACTAGTCCTTGGATCCCTGTAGCCTTCTGCGGAATGTACGCCCAAGCTCTTTTTGGCAACTGCAAGAACTCCCGAAGTTGATTATACCTTCTGGAAGATAGAAAGAGCACGTCTGAGAGGACTCTGAGGTGGCTGCCGTGCTGTACAGCCTAACATAGCACTTCGCAAGTTTGTTGCTGATCTTCACAATTGTATAGCTTCTCACCCCTTTTTGGGCCATAGACTTACTAATTTGTTTCGTTGTGCACTTTTCGATGACACGTTGGGTTTACCCTCCGTGTCCAAGGCAATCCTGTATTTCTGGTGTGGGTGTTTTGGTTGCGGCTCCGGCCCCTTTTGTGTTGTTTTGTTGTGTTTCCTGCTGGCGAAACGCAAATCTGGCCGGGAGATTTGCGAGTCGTCGCTGTTTGGCTTGGTTTTTGTTTGTGTTTTTTTGGTTTTGCCTTGAATTGTGGAACCAAGGTGTTTCACATTGCTAGCCTTTTATTTACCCGCTTCTCTCATTGTTAGGACCGAGCCTCAGAGCGAAATCGGCCGCAACAGAGGAAAAAAAAATTGCAGCGGATGGCCTGTGGATCTGTGCTGCTTACGATGGAGCTCCGGTCCTAGTGCATAGGCAACGTGGCAACAAGGCTCTATTTTCATGGCTACTCACGAGAAAAAGATCATAGCCATTCCAGGTATCCACTACTTTGATGCACATCGTCTAGAAGCACTTCTTCTCACTGCCCCTGAGCTTCAGCTTTACCCCCGCGCAGGCCCTTTTGGTGTGTGAATTGGAAGTGCGGGGTGGGGATTGGGAATGCGGGGTGGGGACGTGGCCGCCGGGACTGATGCTGTACTTGCAGTCCAGTGCTGCTCTCTACTGGACTGCTCAGTGCGCCTCTGTGCAAAGCCTGCCCCAATGGCTCGTCTCTGCGGCGAGCAGTGAGCTTGGGTGTGACTCTGAATTGCTGAGAATCTGCTGCAGGATTCAGATGAGCTCCTAATGTGGCATTGTTTTTGCATGCACCTATAAGGGACGATGACACTCTGCAGGTGCCTGAACAATACGCTGCCTTACACCATGCCTTTTTTATGTCC